TTATATAGATACAGGAAACCAGGTATAAAAATACTAGTCTCAAACCTAACCATTGGTTTCAGAGGAGCTTCACTTTTAAGTAAATAGGCTTAAAGCTATACCTGAAAAGGTCACCCAACTAATTCAAGTGTGAGTAGTTCTATTAAAGTAAAAGGGAGAAAGCATGTTATTAAGTTAAACAAGTACTTGTTTATATAATTAACAGGCTAGAAGGCAGGCAGCAGATTATGCCTTGTACTGATAATTTTTAAAAAATCCTATGATGGGCAAACCACCCTGACCAGGATGGTCTAGGCTCTCATCAGATCTTGGAAGCTAAGCAGGGTCAGCCCTGGTTAGTATTTGGATGGGAGACCTCTAAGGAATTCCAGGGTCACTACACAGAGGCAAGCAATGGCAAACCACCTCTGTTAGTCTCTTGCCTTGACAACCCTACAGGGTCACCATAAATCGACTGCGACTTGACAGCACTTTACACACACATGCGCACACACACACATGAACACCCTCCTTAGACCTGTTTGTGTAAATTAAACAAAAACAGCACACTATATATTGTGGGAGCAAGATTTGGCAAGGCTTTTTTTTTTAAAAGTTAAAATGTGTACACTCTTAGGGATATCCTCCAACAATGACTTACTGGAGAGTATAGCAATTTTTTCCATACTTTCTTTAGGAAACAGGGCTGGCTGTAGATAAACGGTGCCCCAGGCAAGGTGCCCCCCTCTCCATTTGTTCAACAATTAAATATCTTATGCTTTATCGCATTTGTAGCCCATTTCACAACTTTGATGTTTAGTCTGCATGCGTGATTTATTCTTATTGTACAAGATGATACACTGGCTAGGGTTTGTAACTATGTATTTATTCATGGCAAACACGGGCATGTACAAACAAGCTGGAGGGAATGAGTAAGCATGAAACCCCTTGATGATCAATTGTTTTTATGACAATGATGATATCAGTATGACACATACCCCTTTTGCTGAAAGGGCACCAATGCTATTGATAGTTACGGTAGTTTTTTTAAAAAGCTTAATACAACATGGGCCCTACAGGCCATTATTATCAGCTTACTAGGAACAGACAATGATACTATCTGAATTTATGAGTCCAGTAGGTATTAGCAGTACAATCCTAAAAAGTGTTATACCTGTCTGACTTAAGCCCATTGACTTCAATGAACTTAGAAAGTGTAAGTCTGTTTAGGAATGCACTGCAGGTCTGTTGACATTTTATACAGAGATGGGCAAGAAACAACGGATTGGAGAAAAAATGAAGAACTAGTTTTGCTCACATTTTAGAGTGGCTTTTCTCCCCCTTCTGGGGCTCAAATTCAGGAAGCAGTTGGACAGGAAGCACAAGGTGCACTGATGGAAAAAGTCCATTTGTCCAACTACTGAACTGTTGTTTTGTAATGCATTCCTAACCCATTTCACAAGATTGATATATTATTTGCATGCACAATTTATTCCTGTGGTATAGTAAACAGGTGTCTTTAAGGCACCTTGAAAACTAACCATTTTTTAATTCTAGCATAATATGCTGGCAAGTACTATTGCCCACCTGTTGTACTTCTGTCTGTGTTGCAGCTGTTAAAGGCAGAGGGTCATGTCTGAAAAGAATGGCAGCCTCAGAGCTCCTCCTCCTCCTCATCTTGTCAGTTTTCAATTCCACCTTAGTGCTTTCTGACGCCTTGTCCCCTTTTTCTCCACCACCCAAATTTCTCTTGTTTCATTTCTAAAGCCTTCATCGGATTATCATAATAATTCCTTTTCTACACCGTGTGCTGCAAATTCACTTCCTCTTCTTGATGTTCATAATGGCTTTCTTACTTTCTGCTATCTCCCTTATCGCTTGTGTACCTTATCTCTACCTTCTGTGGTCAAGATTAGATTTATGTGGCTTTGGAGGCCATAGGAAGTGCCAAAAGGCAGACCTGTGAATAACTTGCTCATGTGCTATTTGCACTTCTAAGGTACTGTGTGAATGAGGGTTCAGGCTTCCATTTCATGCTGAGATGCTCAAATTGTACCAGGATTTGGAACTCAGGGTGGGTGACTGCTTATTCTGAAAGGGCAAAAATCAGAAGCCCAAGTCATTAGTGCTTCACCTGAAACTGCCTTACACTGAATCAGACTAGTGTTGTATTAAGATCAGTATTGTCTACTGACCTTGTCTATTGTTTTTGAGTCTGTGGGCACCTCTGGAATGCTGACACAGGGTGGTGAGCGCAACCACAAAATGGCTATCGTGGGACACAGACACCCACAGACAGAAAAAGCCCAAGTACAGTTGACAAGAGGAGTAATTTAAAAAAATACACTGGAAAAGAGTGAGAGAGAAAATAAAACTAAAACCATACTGGCAGCTGCCACTGAAACAATGGTACACAGTCAATCCAGTCTATATTGGCCAATCAGAAGCCCAACTGGGCAGAAGCCCCACCCACTTTCTAAAAACACTTGATGGGAACCAGGAAATGTGATGCTGGGTCCCACAATGTCCATGTTGGGAACTTGTGGTCTACTCTGGCTGGCAGCATCTCTCCCGAGTCTCAAGCAGAGGTATTTAACTTCACCTCCTACCTGATCCTTTTAACTAGAAATGCTGGGGACTGATCTTGGGATTGTCTGTGTGCAAAGCAGATACTCAGCCATGAACCCTTCCCTTTTCAGCACACCCTGTAGTATTATTTGGTAGGTCCTGAGTCTCTTCTGTGTTTTGTACTGCATCTAGCGGACCTCTGCCTACAAACAAAAGCAGAGCGGTATTCTGATTCAGAACCACACTTGTAACCCAGTCTCCTCTCTTTAACAACACATGACCAGATCTTACAGTACTGAATTCTATCAGTCACTCATAATTTCATTTTATTTATCTTATATAAGTATTTATGTGACGCTGCATCAGGTGCCTCATAACAAACAGTAAAAGAACTGTCCAGATGGGGTGTTCGAAAGTGTCATTGGAAATTGACACAAGCACTTTTCCTGGCCATAGGTATCCAGCCACTACTGAACACTCATCTGCCCAATTGCATGCTTGCAGTTGCTGCCTTAGCTCATACATAGCTGAATTGCATGTTTTGTTGGAAGTCCCATAATGTTATATCAGTGCTTTGTGCTTAGCGATGCATTTGGGAGAAATGTTTTGCCAGTTCTCCATACTTGTCCATTCCTGCCCAGTGGCAGCATTGCTAAAGTATAAACATCAAACCAATTGTATTTTCCGTACACACCTGGGTTTCTGCACACAATCTTCCTGTACAAAATGAAGAATAATCTTTATTAAAGGAGTTTGTTCTGTTTAGTATTTACTAATAGTTTTAGGTGGCTGTGGCTGGTTTGGATCTCTCTTTGGCTGATATTGCTGCTGAAGTACTCTCATGTAATGTATATCTTTATGTTGCTTATGATGTTGAAATGTTTAAAACCATATGCTGTTTTTTTAATGTTGCTCCTTTTTATTTTCCTACTGATTGTTTTTATCTTTCTATGCCACTTCAAAAACATAATCACTTCTCATAACAAACAAAACTATCCTTTAAAAAAGAAGGCAAATCCCAAATAAGAAACAGATATACATAAAAGGTTTGTCTGTCTGTCAGTAATAAGTGCAACATACATAATTCAGCCCCAGTAGAAATGAAAAGGAACATCGACATCCTTGGGCAGTTCTCATTCATTTCAATGGGGCTTCCGCATTGCCTAGCTGTTGCATGAAAGAGCTGCTTACATATAGAATACATCCATGTGGATTATTAGTTTTAATGTTTTCTTTCTGGAAGCAAACGGTCATGTGTATGTTTAAACATGCATGTATGACATCAATACTATACATGTTTGCTTCAGGAAACACTTAGAATCACAGAATCATAGAGTTGGAAGGGACCTCCAGGGTCATCTAGTCCAACCCTCTGCACAATGAGGAAATTTACAAACACCTCCGCCCCCACACCCCCAAGTGACCACTGTTCCACACCCAGAAGATGACATCCTCCAGGATCTCCAGCCAAACTGGCCTGGAGAAAAATTGCTTCCTGACCCTGTACACGCAATGATTAGGTTCATCTGTAAAGAGTGGAGCTGCCTTAGAGCTCTTTGATTTTCCCCTTTGGCCACTGGAAACCACAAGACTATTTTTAAAATACAGATCTGACAACTGTGAATACAGATACAGATCTGTAATATACAGATCTGACAACTGTGTATCTGATTCTTGCAATCTGCCTGGGATCTGTACACACCCTGGAATGATGCCCTGGTAGTTCACCAGGCAGACCAAGGGCATTGTGGGGCAGTGGATGTAGCGCCGCCTACACAAGGAAAGGGTGCACACAACCAACCCCATGCTATTTGTAGCACACTGCAAACTCGAAACATGAGAAGCATCCTTGTGAACATGGTTCTCAATTCATGCTGGCAGGGAGACTTCCTGGAGATGGTTGCCACCGTTCCCATTTCTCGCTGGACTACACTTGCTGCAAAACAGGCAGACATTCAACTGGGGAAGCATTTCCCAGCATGGAGATTTGGTGCTAGGAAGTGTTTTTCCCGCTTGCATAAAGGCACAAAAAGGGGGGGGGGGAGAGGTTATCTCTAGACTGCGATCACACACACTAAATAATGCACTTTCTATCCACTTTCTAACTGGATTTCACTATGTGAACTGACAAAATGCAGTTGGAAACTGCATTGAAAGTGCATTATTTAGTGTGTGTGTGAACACACATAGGCCTCCAGAACGCTTTCCTTCCTGACCTGAGAAGAATTCTGTGCCGCGTGGACGCTTGCTCCCCTAAGCAACCATTCTGGATCCTATCTCTGGGCTGTCGTTACTACAGGTAACTTAAAAAAAACACACACCCACAAAAATAAAACCCAACCCTGCCTGCTTCTCTTCCCAAGTTTTCATCATGCAGCCACGCCGGGCGGGGGGAGGTGCTCCCAACCTCTGAGTCATCCCTTCTCTTGGGAGTCAAAGGCAAGGAATCGTACCTGAGCTTCTGTCCGGCCGGCACAGTGATTTTATTGAACTTGTCCATGATCCCGGGCTGCCCAGCCCCAAGGCTAGCCGCCGCTCCCTACGCGAGGCGGCCAGCGGCTCGGAGGGCGAGCGAGGCTGGCGGTCTCCCCTCGGGATTCTGCGCCCGCCACCGAGAGGCGAGTCCTCGCGCGTCGGAGCCGGAGAAGCAAAACTTGCCCGAGCGCATCGTCGGGTTTCTCGTTTCGAGTCTGTCATGTGACAGAGCCAGCCGGGCGGGTAATAGGGTGTTTGTGCAAACTGGAAGGAGAAGAAGACGACCCACACCTTTTGGGCGTGTAAACCACCCCCGTCTGGGGCTGAAGTCCTTCGTGACGTCCTCTTTGTTTCCTCACGTGCCCCTGAGGCGTTTCACCCCAGGGGAGCGGCGGCGTGGCTGGGAGAGAGCCCGCCTTTTTCTGGGGCCAGGAAGCGGCCCCCTCTCGCAATCCCCTGGGGGCTTTTGTGATCGAGTTCAGAGAACGCTCCCGGTTCGGCAGAAGCACACCTCTCTTTGGAGATAAAAAGGGAAGGGCTGTTGCCTTCAGGCTTTGCTGGGACGAATTCCCGGAAGACTCTGTTGGGAAAGACTCTCGATCTGAATAGCTCCAACAGGTCTGAAAAGTGGGCACAATCCAGGCGAAGCAAAGTCTCCTTGATTTCAGTGCAGGTGAAAGGGAGGGAGCCCTCATCTCATGCCCTGTCACATGTCCCCCCCACCAATCTGTATTTTGCTACAGGGTACACTGGTCTCTTAATGACCCTAGTTTTTCCAGTAGAACAAATTTAGAGTCCAGTGGCACTTTTAAGACCAACAAAGGTTTATTCAAGCTATAAGCTTTCGTGTGCATGCACACTTATGCACACGAAAGTTCATACCTTGAATAAACCTTTGTTGGTCTTAAAGGTGCCACTGGAGTCTGAATTTGTTCTACTGCTTCAGACCAACACTGCTGACCACCTGAACCTAGTTTTTCCAGTTTACATTGGCACAGCTTCTTTTTTTTTTTGCATTAACATTTTCTCCTCCACAGTATTTTCCACCAGGCACCTGTATGAAGATATATTGCTTAGATTGTGCTTCTGAGTCAAGAGACTGCTGAGAATATATTTTTCCCCAAAAGGTTAGCACGTGAAGCTGTATGTAGACACTTTTTAATGAACAATAAGAATATATTTTTCCCCAAAAGGTTAGCAGGTGAAGCTGTATGTAGACACTGGCAAAGTAGGGAAGATGAGGTCATCTAGATTGTGTAACATGCTGCCTTTGCTCCTTTTTAATGAACAACAGCAAATTCTGCAAAGGTAACGGACCTTGTGAACGGCAACAAGAGCACCGACTAGACTATCCCTCTTAGGCTATACATTTCTTATCCTGTGTTTAGTCCATGATGGTCACTATGGCAATACTTGGTTCTCCCTGCCTCTGTTTTATACTTACAACAACTCTAAGTTAATCTAAGAAAGAGTGGCTTTTATCATGCAACTGTACAGTCACAAAGACTTAAGACCACTTCCTGTCTTTGGAAATGGCAGTGATTTCTGCTGATTTCCCACCTCTTGCTAAAGTTCCCAGTTTGCACCCTGCGTTGTTCCTGAGTGTTGACTGACTCCCAGAAACAACACTTGGAGGAGCTCATTGAGTGGACGAATTCCTGGTTTCTAAACTGATCTCCTTGGATACAACCTGGTGACTTTGTGGTAGAGCTTTGTGGTAGAGTGGAGAACCCAGGTGTCCCAAGTCCTAATCAGCCATGACCAACCAAGTAAGCAATGGCTCATTTGAACTACAGCTGGTCTGTAAATAGGGCTGCCAGCCTCCAAGTGGAGCCTGGAGTTCTCCTGCTTTTACAACTGATCTCCAGCTGACAGAGATCAGCTCCCCTAGAGAAAATGGCTGCTTTGGAGGGCTCTATGGCATTGTACCCGCTGAGGCCCCTTCCCTCCCCAAACCCTGCCCTCTCTCTGTTCCCCCCCCAAAGTCTCCAGGTGTTTTCCAACCCAGACCTGGCAACCCTATCTGTAAACATGCCGAAATTACTGGGATTAGTTTGCAGGGCTTTATTTCATCTAAATTATTCAAACAACAGAGGGCTTGTTGTGGGTATGGCAGGAAGGTGGGAGGGAGGAAGCCAATCCAGAGATTCACAGATGAAGGGTGGGGACTGCGTTGTTTCAAATACAAACCTACACCTAAAGGCTGCCAGAATGTCATTTTCACTCAAATTAACTCCAATGACAAAGCCCAGATGAGAGAAACAATGGAGTGAAAGGTTCTGTCAATGCAGAGATACAGAGTAATCAAGTACCCACAAGAGTGAGGCTGAGGGGGAGTTTTTATAGACCAGACAACCACATTTCTGACTCAATCATTATTGTGAAAAACTTTGATAGGTAGTTTACCAGTGGTGAAAGTGGGTACAGAATTCAGGAAAATATCTTTAAACTATGTCCAGCCCTGTGCTCATTTTATAACACGGGGGGCAACACTTTTATCACATAGGTTACTCTCATGTTACAGATAGGCCTTTGCTAAACAATGATTTAAATCCACATGTTCAAGCCCTGACAGAAAAATTCCATCCAAATGCTTCCTGTATGCTCCAAGATGTGGCAGTACATACCCCTCCAGGATAAGAACATAAGAAAAGCTATGCTGGATTGGACGAAAAGCCCATGAAGGTCAGCATGTTGGCCACAGTGGCCAATCAGCTGCCACCAGGAAGTCCACAGCAGGATGACTGCAACAGCCAATGCTCCCTCTAAGCTGTGGAGTCTTGTGAGCAAAAATGCAACTTTATGAGCTACTGGCATTAAAGTTGTGAGTGAGCAATTTGGCTACTGCATAAATCAGTTTGCTCTGGGGCCATCCTTCCTGAGCTAAGACAAAGATGTGTGAGCCGGAGGCTAAAAAACTGTGAGCTAGCTCACACTAACTAGCCCGCAGATGAAGCCCTGGCTAGCTGCAATGTGTGTGTAATTAAAAATTCTGTATGTTGTTTTCCCTATCCCCACGAACATTGTTAGTCCAACTGTCAAAGAGTAACTGTAAAATCGCTCTGAGCCTGCAGGTGTCTAGGAAAGAGCGATTAATACATCAAAAGTATCATCATCATCATCCTCATCATCATCATCATCATCATCTCAGCTTAGTGGGAACACAGGCAACAGTATCCTCCTACTCTTGTTCCCCAGCAGCTGATATAAAGAGGCATACTGCTCTGGCACTGGAAGAAGTTCGATATCCATTATGACTAGTAGCCATTGATGGGCCCGTACTCCATGAATCTATCCACTCCCCTTTGAAAGACTTCAAAGTTGCCTGTCCTGAATCTCCCTTCAGCTTCAGTGGATGACCCTGGTTCTAATATTATGGGAGACGCAGAAAAGCTTTTCCCTATCCACTCTCTCCACACTACAAAATTTTAATAGACTCTGTCATATCTCACTTTTTTTCTAAACCAAAGAGCTCTAAGCATTTTAACCAGTCCTCATAGGTTAGCTGCTGTAGCCCCCAGCTCTACAATATCCTTTTTCAGGTGTGGTGGCCAGAACTGTGCACAATATTCATAGTGTGGTCTCACCACAGAGTTGTGTAAGGGCAGTAGGATAGCGGCAGTTCTGTTCCTGTTCTAATTATGGCCAGTATGGGATTTGCCTTTTTCGCAGCAGCCACACACTGACTTGACAGGAATGTTTAAGTGGGATGGTGCATATTCTGTGCAAAACTTTAACAAGAAAACAAAAATGGGCCCCGGTCACACTGGGGGAAAAGGCACGGCTAAAGTGCGGCTTTTTTGAGCCGCACCAAAAGAGAAGCGCAGCAGCGGGATCAGACAGATCCCCCCAGCCGCTGTGCAGGTCCTCCCCGGCACGATCAGATGCTGGGAGGAAGCCACGGACCGGAGAGCGAGGCAAGCCTGCTGCGCACGCGTGTGCATGCGCAGTTCGGCAGGACCTTGCATGCTGTGGGAGAGGCAGGTGTGCTGGCAATCAGATGGCCGTCCCTGCAGCGGATTTTCTAGGGTTTTTTTAAAATCTGCATCTTCGGCTGGAAGAGACGGATCAGGGACGGGTGCACGTTGCGGTGTGATCACGCCTGCTTGATGCGCCCCCAATCCGTCCCTCTTGCGGATCTAATCCTCCCGTGTGACGGGGGCCTTCGTGTCCCAAATAAGCACAAATTTTGCTATCTGATGAATACATTTTATTATGAAAATTCAGCTCTGCGGTCCCTCCCAAAATTAATGGCAATCCTGCCTGTTCTTCTCTCCTGGTAGCCAGTGTTTCATCAAGGACAGATATTTCAAGCCTTACTTTCAGTCTTTGCAGCCTTTTCATTGAAAGTGGGCATAAATCATCTTGACTTCTATTTCAGGGTTAGGACCATTCTTGGTGCACAAATACTTTGTGGTTTCTTCAACATGCCACCCTTGAGGTTTGTGGAGAGACTGTTTACACAAAGTACAGTTCCTCATCCTCTCTCCATCCTCCCATTCCACAGACCTGAGTAGGGCAGTTCTCCCCATGGCTCTCTGGCCTATCCCCAGTTACCATTTCCCCTCTGCTGATGTCGTGTGAGACTTGAGCTGTGGCAGTGGACAGTCTAGGAAGGCAAATGGTGGATATCTTGTATTAGCCGCCTTTTAGTCCACTGCTTAGCATATATTCTCTCTATTTCCTTCCTGCCAGTGGGCACACACATACTTCCTCACTAAAGCCTGAACACCTGTTCTAATTCTTTCAGTTAATTTCAGCCATGTGTCAGCTATGAAAATAAAAACTTACTTCAAAACTGAAACCACCATTTCTTCTTGAAAGGCTGCCAGTGTAATCCTAAACAACCTTCAAAATTTGATTTATCTGGGTTTAGAAGGGTGCAGTTCTGCTTAGGACTGTACTGTCAGTGACACAGTTAATTAAACAAAAAAGCCATGCCTTTACATAATGGTCACTTCTGCTCTGAAAATGTACAGATAGCAGAATTAGCGTTGGTTGAAGGATTTCATCTCACTTGCAATCTTTTAGCTGCTAAATCCGGCAGCAGTTCTGGAATATTTGGGGCATCAATAGACATATGCGGGGCACAGTACACAAACTCTTTTGTTTCCAAACCATTCATGGATTTGCTGAGATTATTTTTCAGGGTTGCAGCCTCAGTAGCCAATATGAAACCTGGTCATAAATCAGGGTTCGATGAAGACACAGTGCCAGTATTACAGTTCAGGTAGCTAGCCCAGTTCCAC